CTGCACCTAGGCTCAAGTATTTTACCTTCAGGCTTGGACCTTGTTATGATTTGTGTCATGGGTCATGACACCAAAAACTTAGTTTTTAAAAAGATGAACTATTATTGCATCGAAATTAACAATTTCAAACCAGGAGCAGAGGCACACACCTTTTACCCCAGCTACTCAACAAGCTGAGGCAAGAGGAGTGGAGGTCCAAAGCCGGATTAGGCTATTTGGCAAGACCTGTCTCAAAATGAATCTTTTTAAATGGCTGAGTTATATAGCTCAGTGCTACAGCATCCCTGGATTCAATCCTTAGTACTGAAAAATGAATTAACTTTATTCCATAAAAGATATTTCTAGGCAAATGAAAGACAAGCTGCAGAACAGTAGGAAGACATCTGTAAATCATGTATCTAACAAAAGAATCATATCTAGACTATACTTCCTGGTTTTAAAACTGTGCTGTGTAGCATTTTAAAACATTATTGCCAGAGAAGGTGGATTATGGATATGCAAGACTGTTCTATTTTTCTGTTTTTGTTTCTACAGCTACTTAAAAACAGAGCTTAATTTTTAAACTATAAATTGGACATTTAACTACTAGACTTATAATCCCATACCTCTGACTGGAATCTGAAGTATATTCTAATATAATACTAATAGAGACATAACTGTTAAAAGAGACATAACAGATAAAACTGTTAAGAGAGCAATTTGGCTAAACAAACAATATGTTAACCTTTGACAAAGAAATTCAATTTCTAACTTTTCCTAAGAAAACAAAAATATATACCAAATCTTCATACAATGGTGCACTTTTGGGCTGGCCAGATAGCTCAGTAGACTAAAGCACCTGCTTTGGCAGAGCGCAGCGGCTGAGGTTCGATCCCCAGGCATGCTGTGCGGGCCCCACCCCAGGGCACGCTGAGATGGCGACAGACTGGGTGTGGTGGTGCGTGCCTGTAATCCCAGCGCTTGGGAGGCTGAAAACAGAACCACTACGCGTCTGCTCTAGTAGTGAGACCCTGAACACCCTGTCCTAAGTTCATAAAAAAAAGATGCAGTTTTTCTCATTTGTTTGTAACAGTGAAAAGCTGAAAAACACTGTACACCAAAAATGAACCCAGCAAAAAATCTGGAAAACAAACCTATTCACAGTAACTTTAAAAAAGTTATCATGGGGCCAGGCAGATAGCTCAGTGGAAAAAGTGCTCACCTGGCAAGCACAAGGTCCTGAGTTCAACCCTTGGTACCACCAAAAAAAAAAAAAGAAAAGAAAGAAAAAAGAAAACAAAATATTTGGGCTGGGGAGATAGCTCAGTAGAGTAAGTGCTTGCTTGGCAAACGCAGAATCTTGAGTTCAATCCCCGGTACTGTAAAAAAAAAAAAAAAAAAACAGCTATCATGCAATTAATCCAAGAAAGTGAAATACTTCTCCAATGACAACTATAGTGTTCTGTAAAGAAGACACTGAAGAGGTCATCCCAAAATAGAAAGCCCTGTTCCCAAACAGGCAGAATCAGTGTTGCCAAAATGACTACATTACTAAAAATGGTATGTAGATATAATGCAATCCTAATCAAATTAACAACAGTATTTTCATAGAACTAGAAAAAAATACTAAAATCATATGGAATTAGAAGAGACCTAGAATAGCAAAAGCAATCTTGAGTAACAAGAGCAAAACACTCCCAAA